GACAAAGAAACTGGAATCAGTCAAGAACCTAAATAATGCCTCTGTTCGTGTTGCCTAAAAAGTTACTAATAATTTCCATTTTTTATTTGCTCAAAGTCCAAACATTAATTTCAACCACACATTCATAACTACTATCCATTTATTATTCACATATTTCGTGGGATACAATACCATTCCCCTTAAAAAAGTTACTAATATTTTTAGAAGAACAAAGCTAATGATTACTTTGAGAATCCTAAATTAATGTATATATGAAATGAAAATTTAGTTAGAAACAGAAAATAATTAAGTGCAGAAGTTCTTACAGAACCAAAATAGCTTGCTGCCAAAGCTTTGGTGAGTTCAGTTTTTCCCACACCAGTGGGGCCACAGAAGAGCATTGCTGCAATTGGTCTATCTGGTTGACTCAAGCCAACACGGGATCTCTTTACAGCCCGACAAATGGCAGCAACGGCCTCATCTTGACCAATAACCCGATTTTTTAGTTGTTCATCAAGACCCATCAGAAGCATTCTTTCGTCAGCTGTAAGCTTCTTAACTGGAATCCCTGACCAGAGAGAAGCAACAGCTGCTATTTCCTCAGGTCCAACCACTGTAGGCCTGGGGAGAAGGAGAAACTTTCAGCTTGTAATCTAGTAGTCGAATACTTCGGAATTAACATTTCTTCATTTTGAAATGAACACAAGGCCAGATACATACTCGTCATTTTTAAACGTGGAAGCCAATGAAGATTCAAAAGTGAGTCTACTATCCTCCTCCGTAGACTCGTTGCCATTTTCACTCAGTTTTCTAGCCAGTTCCTAATAATACATAAGGATTAGATGGACAAAATTTGAATGTCCAAAACAATTAATGCAGAGGACATGTAAAACATAGCCTATATAGATGACTCCACAAAGAATTAAAATCATACCACTTTGTGCATAGCCTGAACAGATATAATTTCTTGCCAATAATCACTTGGCGACTTTGAAAGTATACAGGTTTGCTGTTCCTTTCTTATCTTAGACGCTTCCATACGGGCTTTACTTCCTGCCTCATCTATAAGATCAATTGCTTTATCAGGAAGATATCTATCGGGGATGTACCTAGCTGACAAATGTACAGCAGCATTTATGGCCTCCAAAGTGAATCTACATCTGTGATAGGCTTCATATCTTTCACTCAAGCCCAACAGTATATGAACTGCATCCTCCTTCAATATGTAAACAGCATAAGGGAAAGGCACGAAAATAAATCAAATTTTCTATAATAATACGAGCATGTGCAATGTGGATCCCTTGTATTACTACCTGGCTTGGCTCATTTATCAAGACAGGTTGAAATCTTCGGGCCAATGCCTTGTCCTTTTCAAAATGCAATCTGAATTCATCCATCGTTGTAGATGCAATACACTGTCACAAACAAAATGTTAGTGCATAGTGCATACTGTTTTGAAAAACTACCTAATATTCTAAAAATGCATCAAAGAGCTGTTTGTTGGGGGTGGGGGTGGATTTTGCCTACTATAGCAACAAAATTTTGACACACAAAACTAGACTTTTGCATGCAGGGCACTAGCAATAAAAGGCAGTTTTGGAAAAAGTAGAGAGCTTTGAATCTAAATTTCACGGATAGCTTCATTTATGCAAAGCTTGCAGATATAGATCTCTCCAAATCTCATGCACCAATGGCAGGACATAAAACCTAAAAGGGGAAGCAGGCATCATAAGATAGATAGTCACCTGCAGTTCACCCCGTCCAAGTGACGGCTTCAATAAATTAGCTATGTCTAGACCAGATCCCTTATTTCCTCGTCCAACCGTGCCAGAACCAATAATTGTGTGGACCTCATCAATAAAGAGAATAATATTGCCTGCAATGCCGCCACATCAATCTGAGCCATGATTCAAGTACTTTTGACCCTAACATAAGTCCAAACAGGTGCTTACCTGACTTCTTAATCTCCTTAATTAATGTAGTAACACGTCCCTCCAACTCACCCCTTTCCTTTGCTCCAGAGATTAATAGACCAATATCTAAGGACATTATGCGTTTTTTCTGTTCCAAAGAGCACAATGTTCAGAATCAAGTTGGCATGCAACTATTTCAAGGGTACAAGTAAACATAAATCCAAATCAGCCTCTGTGTGTGTATGTGTATGTGTGTGTGCACGCCAGGTATACTATTTATATAAAATCTGTCATTTCTCAGGAGAAGACCCACCAAGAGAAAATAGGGAACATTATTATCTGCAATTAGTATTGCCAAGCCTTCTGCAATTGCCGTTTTCCCCACGCCAGCTTCACCAAGAAGAATTGCATTATTTTTGGTTCTTCGGCAAAGAATTTGAATGATCCTCTGGACTTCAGTTTCTCGACCAATCACAGGATCAATAAGTCCATTGCTAGCACGGGCAGTAAGATCCACACAGAATAGGTCCAGCGCTTTTTTATCTGTTAAATATGTTAAACTTCTGATCCTTCTAATATGTTCTCATCAAATTTATACTCCACTTATGAACTAAAGAAAAAAACTGTTTCCCACCTCTTGACTTTTCCAGTGATCTCGCATGAGGAGCTTTCTCCAGGAAGAAATTCTCACGCGACCTTTTCAAAGCAGTAGGTGGTTCTCTTCCATCTTTTGCCATCTCCCCTTGGAGTCTGGAGACTGCCGCTGCTGCCAAATTATTTACGTTTGCCCCTAATCTGAAATCATATTAGTCAAGTCCAATAAATGAAAATTTGCAATTGTTAAAAGATTATGATGCCTTAGTTATAGGTGCAATTCATCTAGAATCACCAATGTAAGAAAAATGATTATAAAGAAAAGGGCAGATCCACACTAATGGAGCCAAAGGGACTTATTCAATTCAGAAATAAGTCAGAAAACAAATATAAGTACATTTGCTAATATTTAAACTTTGGTAAAAAAATTTACGAAATTGATCCCAAGTAGCTCGTCATTTTTTTGAAAGAAAATTATGATATACAAATGGAAAACATGGCATTAATTTTTCGATGTTCTACTCGAAAAATACTAGACATAACAAAAGGATAGAATAATGCAACATCAAACAGAATCTTTAGTTTAATTTTTATTTTTGGCTATGTCATGGCAAATCATATAAATCACTGATACTTAGAAATATGATAATCGAAGAAATGGAGATTATGAATCCATTTTGACATGCTATTCATATGGGCGGTGTTAGCAAATTCAACAGATGCATTGGCATAAAGCATAGCCACGGATCAACAGCATAGTATCTACATATTAGAATTAATTGCTGACGAGTTAAATTATTTACAATACACTTCTGCTCTCTTGGTTCAGCAGCATTGTCATTCATGTCCTGGCCTATTGCTCTAAATAACTAGACCAAAACCACACTTCCATTTAAAACATAGATATATATTTTTTTTGATAGGTAATTTAAAACATAGATATCAGTTTAATTCGTGGTGCATTTCCATGAGGCAGCCTCATATATAGAGATGCCCAGCATTATCATTAATACATACACATGCACTAACACATAACACAATATAGAGACAACCTCCTTAATGTGTGCATGCGATTAGACTCGATCTACATACTCGAACAACTGCAGAAAGACTTAGACAAGTGCAAGAAAAATGATATCAAAAACAGATTTTTAATATCTGTTATCTAAATTTCCCAAAATTTTCTTCATATTATACAAAATACAATTATATTCATCCATGCCACTGTTCAAAAAACCAAAAACATATATATAAATTACTATCATATATCCAATGTGAACTGTGATTCATTAAAGTGAAAGATAAAAATCATATACGTATAATCATACATCCGAAGTATACCTTTTGAGGACTCGGCCAGCACTGCCATCGTCAACAGTGAACAATCCAATCCAAATATGCTCGGGCGCGATAAAGTTATACCCCATAGTCTTCGAGTACTCAACTGCAGCCTCGAAAACACGCTTCGTGCTCACAGAGAACGGCACATCCGTTGATGATGTCTCCGATTGAGCAACACTCCCACTATCATCCCCATTATCATCTTCATTCTGCCAAATGCTTCGCACAGCTTCACGCACAGCATCAATTCTAATGCCAGAGCCCAAGAACCCAGCTGGGTCCCGATCCTCCGCAACAAGACCTAGCAAAAGGTGCTGAGTAAACACCATGTCTTTGCCTAACGCCTTGGCTTCTCTCTGCGAAAACATCACTGCTTTAATTGCTCTTTCTGTAAATCTCTCAAAAACTCCAGAAACTACATAAAATGATCGTTTTCCCTTATTGATAGAAAATGAATTTTTCCTGCAGCCACGTTGAGAAAGTGAACTTCCAAAGTAGGACGAAAAGGATGAAGAACAACTGCTGCAGACAGTGGTCGGTGTGGAAATATTGGAAGGAAAGGCAGGGTAATTTGGCAATAAAGAAAAAACTTTTTGACATCTCCGGTGGTTATTCGATACCGAAAAACGCCGATTTGGGATAAAATTCACCGATAGCGGTGGCGAACACGATAATTCCATGACAATTTATTTAATTTTATTATTTTTGTTTATGAATTACACCGACACAGTTACAGTAGAAGAAATTGAAGAAAATCAATGAATAGGAAGATGAGGTGCCCGTGCGCCCTGCCCTCAGATTACAAAAGATTTTTTGTGGTGGTCAGCGCCAAAGGTCGGAGGGCGGGGAAGGCGGAGAACGGCGCAGACTAGTCTCGATTGGGGGGCAATGTTAAATTTGGTCAAAAGTCTGTGCCTTAACTCCAAAAATCCGGTGGCTTTTTTTTTTCTAGGAAAAGTTTTGCCTTTCAAATTTCAATATTAGCCCACATGCGTTTGGCTTTCCTTTTGTGTTTGGGAAAAGGTTTATCAATACAATTTCAACAACAACAATACTACAAGTACCGAATTTTTTTATCGAATCTTTTACCTACCACTAACTATAGAGGTGGAGACCACATGTCCGCATTTTTAAATTCTCGTGGGGCCCGACATACATTGTGAAAGGGTGTAAAACATTCGATAAGGGATTGGGTGTACAAATATCTTTTCCCTTTCGATAATTCTGCTTATACAGAAAAGCACTTGCCAGAATTTCACCAAATGCAAATGTGGCAGCATTTGATTGGTCAACTATTTATTTCTTTGCCATATCTAACAGGAATCTGTCATGTGTATTCTGGCATAATTTTTATGTACAAGTAGCAGGACTGATACAATTTTTGCCATGTTAACACATTATATATTAGTATCTTCTCTCATTTATTAAAAAGAAAAAGAAAAAAAGAAGTGACTTACCAAAATTACAAAAACGTATTGATGGAACGATCAAAGAGACAAGTTCAAAACAGTATATCTAGACTCGTAATTAACATCTTTTCTTGCTTTATTTTTTATTTACAACAAGAATAAAATAAAATAGGAATTAAAAAATATTAAACATAAATTACACGCGAAATTAATTGAAGAAGTGGGTCTAAGCACGCAATGTGAAGGGTAGTTAACACCAAGACGCCAAAGGAAGGAATTTTGGCGGTATTTCTGTGGAAAATTCCAACGCAATAACGTTAAAAGAAAAGAATAATGTGTATGCAAGGTAGAGGATAGCTCTTACCTCCAATCACACACATACCTGTTTTCTCGATTAGAATTCAACTTTATAGTATTGTTATATATATTTAAAATTATTACTAATTCTTGATATGAATACTAGTGTATTTCAATAGATGTATAGATTAAAAGAAAAAAAAGAAAAAAAGAGAGTAGTAATTTTATTTTTGAACATATGGTTGAAATTAATGTTCAACTATAACTAAATAAAAAGAAAAAGAAAATTATTAATAACTTTTTTTGAAAAAACATAGGCAGTGTTTCATGTTGGTAAAAATAGGTGTCATCATTTTTCTGCAATGTTATCTAATTTATAATTTTACCTTTAACCCCCGTTTGTTTCTCATTTTTGGAAGAATGAGAATGAAAAACATAATCGTTACGGGTCCCGCGCAAGAGATAGAAATTCAAATTTGATGGTTTGATGTGATGGATAACGGTCATATTTTTCATTTTAATGAAAAAATAATGGGAACAAAACAGAGGCTTAATCTTATTCACAGTATAAAAATATGTGTTTTCTTAAATGTTTGACACGTCTTGTAATGTAAGTTATACGCTACATTATAGAATTTTAAAATAGATATAAATTATAATTTTATTTATCATATTATTCCAAATGATGTATTATTATGTACCAAGAGGAGATGTAATCGAGCAGCCTTCAAAGATTGCTATCAATGACCAGTAGAGAAGGGTACTTTCAGTTTTTAATTTCGAGCTTTGATTCTCCTAGTAACATTAGTGGGTACAATAATTATTTATAATAGGCAACATTGTAGTTGTAAGTGTTATCTCCGAAATTCAATCGACTTTAGACATAAATACTTTTAATATATAATTAATACAATTTTACAACAAATCTATTATTTAATTAATATTCAATTAAATCAAAAAATAGAGTCCGTAAATTCTAATATTAATAATTTGTTAATCACAAGAAATTGTGATTATAAGATACAAATTACATATGATTGAATTTTAAATCACCTGTGGTCATAAGTAATAACGAGATACTGATATTGTTATTACGGATGGACCATCATGTGTAGCATTTTCTTACTTGTAAATTAAGTGGTTGATCTCATAAACTAAAGTGTGGTGACATTTAAATGAATACGTGAATTTTTTTAATTGAACAAAATATTGGAGACCCGTCGGGAGATTCCACATAGATAATTATTTGAGTGTCAGTGGTTAATCTCTAATGTTCGTTAGTGGAATTAGTCATTTGATTTGATGTCATCATGATGCCTTATATGAGGGCAGTCATACTTTGGTGATGATGGATGTTGTTTTGACAAGGGCCGCTAATATGGCATCATTCGGATATGTCAAGAATCAAATGAAGGTTGTCAATGACTAATAGAAGATTCGTTACTCTTAGATTGTAAAAGATTATAATCTACATTTTATTCAGTTAAGTTAATAATGAAATCGTTGGCTAAGGTATATTCATAAGTCGAAAATGAGTTTTCAATTTGTATTGACTTAATAGTAGAATAAAAGATATGTTTGATAATTAAGATTGACACTTATCCATATCTCGTAATCGATTAGATCATATTGACGAAGGAAATATAATTTCATGGTAAACGAACAAGTTTAATTTTGTCATACCACGTGACATTTCTCATTACATGTATTGCCCTGGCACATTACTTGATATTAGACGAATGTGAATTGGTGATAAATTAAAAATGTGCATTTTAATTTATTAATTTTAATTATATTAAAATAATAATTCACGTCGTATCGTGATTTGGAACCTAATGGATCACACACAAAGGAAAACTAGGATAATGAGATTTACCAATTAATTATTTAACAAGTGTTGAATAATTAATTAATTGGTTTGCTTGTTAAATTAAGTGAAAATTACATAAACCCAGGTACTTAAACTTTCAAATTCAAAATTCAGGTGTAAATTTTATTTATGCAAAAATCAGATATTATATATAGTAAATCCACCCAATTAAAAATCCTAATCATTTCCCCAATTCAATCTGGTTTCCTTCTTCTCACTCTACAGACTCTCCCTTCTCTCTATAACAATTCTGAAATCGCTATAGGAGATTCATCACCGACGACGTTCACGACGTCGCCGCTACATTGGCGATGCTCTGAAGACTGGCACCAATATCGATGTGAGACCGACACTGCTGCAAAGGGTGCAACGCCTCCTTTTCTTGGACTCGCAAATGTGAGCGTCAATTCGATTTTCAGCAGCGATAGCCTCATCCATTATCGCTGGAGATGGTGGCACTGTAAACTCTACTACCCGCTGCCTTTTTTTTTTTTTTTAGTTGTGGACCTTGTGGTTGTGTTAGTTTTTGTTGGTAGTTGGTGGTGTTTTTCAAAGTGGTGATGTCGGTGGTGTTCTTTTGGTTGTTGGAACGGTGGTGGTGATCGTGTTTTGGTTGTGTCGGGGAATTGGGTGGTTATTGTCGGTAGTGGAACTAGTGGTGATGGCGGCAGTGGAGGTGGTGGTGGTATGTAATGTGACCAACTATTTGTCCCGTGACTGACTATTTGAATACCTATGACCTTAAAATTTGATAATTATGACCAACAAATTCGAAAATATGTGATTGATAGATAAACTGTGATCTATAATTTTTTCATCTGTGACCTATAAAATTTTTTATTTGTGACAAATTAATTTGATAATACGTGACTAATAAATAAGTTTGTGACTTATAATTATAAACCTGTGACTAGGGATGTAAACGAGTCGAGCTGAGCCGACATTTTTGGCTTAGGCGCTGGTTGAGCTCTTTGAAGGCGGGCTTTTATTAGCCCGAGTTTTGCTCGGCCAGAAAATTAAGGTTCGACTCGAGCTTTCGGCTTGAACCTTAAAGAGCCAAGCCGGGTCGAGCTTGTTGTTTAGAATTTTTTTCTCATCCCTTTGTTGCCTGTTTGGCAGCTAATCTGCTACCAACCGGTAGCAGATTTTTTCCTCTGTTTTTTTAACGGGTCGGCCCGGCTTGAACCAATTTTCCAAAATGAGGTGAGTCGAGTTGGCTCGAGCTTTTTTCGAGTCGAGTTACGAGTAGTCCGAGACGACGAGCCCGATTGTTATCCCTACCTGTGATCATTAACGGTATAAATGTAACCTTATTATTTTCAATTAATAAAATATATATAATTAAAAAAATGAAAATCTGATTTTTGCATTTTCAAAACTTTGGACATGAGAGTTTAATTGTCAATACTTAATACTTTAATTGTGAATTTTTCCCTTAAATTAATTCATAGATCAGATTTAATTAATTAGATTAGTTAAATATTAGATCAGGTTAGAAGACAGGTCAAACCCATTTGAGCTTATATAAATAAGCCACTAGGGTTTGAAAATTGCAAAGAAAAATTTCATTATTTTTGCTAACATAAGAAAAGTAAAAACCTCTGGTCCTCTCAATCTTGTTTACTGTGTGAATTTTCATTGGAGGTTGGACGATAAGACAATTGTGGATTCATATCAAGATTATCAGAACAAAAGAAAAGTAAAGAAGTTTGTAAAATTCAACAAAGATATAATTTCTATCACAATTTCTATATAAAGAAAAAGAAACCGCACATTCTCCAGTGCAGCTAAAACTTTATCAGTTAACTATCTTTAAAAAATAAAAATAATAATAAATAAATTAAAGTTAGTTTGGTCATATGGTAATTTTGGAAAATTGAAACGTCCTCAAATATAGAAGTAACAATTGTTTGAAAATTCGAAATCAATTATAAAATCATGATAATACATTTCTTAGAGAGAAAAATTACAATACAATTCTCTGATTGTTGGATGATTCGAAATCGATTCACAAAGAAAAGTTGTATTATTTATCGAATAAATTCTAGAATCTTACACTAAATTGTATTGAGAATAATGTCTTTAAAAGTGCGATTACATTGATCAAACTATTGATTCATATGTATTCCACTGTGCACGGTACTTTTCAATTACAAAAGGACTTGGCATATTTGTGTAAATTTTCAATAATTTCCTTTATTGGCATAAATACAAAACCAAGTAAAAAAAACTTGAACTTTCGAAAATATGTTATTTTTCAATTTTTCAGAAAAGAAAGAAGTTCACTTTTCTAGAGGTCTACCTACGCTCGTCTGGGTAATCGTTGCACAAAGTTTTGGGCTACATCAGTGGGTTCATTTTGGGTTTAGGCCCTTGTTGAAGGCCCTATTATTATTATT